ATCTGATCAATTTGGATATATACTTTTACAATAATACTTTTCAGGTATCACCTTACACAGGGACTACTGTTTTTTTTCTCTCTTATCTCATAAAATACAGTTGGTTTTTTTGGGATTGCAAGACTGGGCTACAAGTAGCAGACAGATATTTCTGGGCTCTAGGCTACTACATTTGGTCAACTTGCTACTATTTGGGCTACATTCCGAGGAATTCTGCTTTATAAAACCTATCAGGTGACCTGTGAGGTTCTCACTAGACACATGCTGTTTACCTGCAGTTTATTTATATTATTATTATTATTATTAATTATAAATTAACAAAAGAAAACTGCAAATGTTTTGATTTCTAAGTAAATTTACTTCAGTGTTTTGTACCAAAATTGCAATATTGGTAAAAAAAATTTAATATATATGTTATTGTTAAAGCTCGAAATCCGTTAATGTGCGCATTACCTAGCTAATCTGCAGATTAACTAGGATGATCCGTTAAAGCTGCGAAAATTATTCCATTTCTCAAATTACCTAGGTAATGTTCAGATTATCTAGGTAATCTGCAAATTACCTACTAGGCACTCGGTAAAGTGAAAATAAGATTTTTGCTGGAACAACAGCAACGTTTCTGTACGCTTAAATTAACATAATGTTATTTATTTAATTTTCAATATCTAAAGAATCAAGTTAATACAATCAACANCCAATTTGTAGTATTGTTGTCATGCATCCACGAAGCTAACATTTTTTGGATGTCCTGATTGGCCCGTTCAACAGACCCTTGGCTTTGGCTATGCCTTGGTTTTCCGTGAACCAGTTTACACTCAGGCCAAAAAGAAGCCAGCTCATCTATGACAGAGTTAACAAATTCTCTGCCATTATCAGAGTGTAAAATGCAAGGAGCGCCAAATATCAAAAATATATCTGTTAATTGATAAGCCACCTCTACAGCTCTCTTGCTTTGCAGTGCACGTAATAAAACAAATTTTGTCAAATGGTCCTGATATACCATTATAAACTTAAATCCACGATCTTCTTGTGTTTGCATGTCGATAAGATCGACTTGACAACGACTGTTCATCTCTGAATGAAGTATGGGTTTCGAAACAAGCCCCCTTTTTTTCATATTCTTTTTACGCTGACATGCTTCGCACATAGACAGAAAAATATTAATCATTTCTATTGTTATGTTCGCATATTTTCTTGAAGTTTCATTTTTTAGTCTGTCTCGACCTCCATGACCAATGGCCACATGAGCTGTTTCAATAATATCGAAAATTTCGTCTACATATAAATAGTACTTCATAGGTTCCTTTCTTGTCACTAACTTTCGCGTCCCACAAATATTAATAACCTTGAATCGATTTAATCTTCTGTACTGTTTCGGTGTTTTTTTCTCAGCTAATTGTGCCTCTTCAATTTCGTCCATTAATTTATCGTAAATTTCTTTTGTCATAACATTGTAGTGGTCTTCTTTTTTTTCATGTTCAGACATCTGTATTATTCTTTTCAAAAATTCCTCTTTCCATCGCATTCCTTCATGTGAATCTGCCATGATAAATAATTACGTACGAATCGATTTATGTGTGCTTAGTGGAAAACTGACTGCGCGGGTCTGCACGTGGCGACGGCGCGCGTCGACTCGTCCCGAATCAGGCGCCGTTGATTTACCAATCAGAGTCATTCTAGCATCGTAAGCGTTATCACAGATGTGAAATTTGCGAATTTAACAAAGTCGTCGGGAAAAATATGTAAACAACTCCGATAGAAATAACGCTCCTGTGAGAATTAGATCGGAGGTCACCGTTTGTCATAACAATTAGATGGGAAAGTTGACACATAGGTGTCAAAATTGCACCGTTATTGTCAACATTTGACGATCATGTAACTCCTTTCCCACTACAATCGAATAAAAGCTCGAGCCCCCGGAAGCTCAGGGCGATCCAACGGAAGTTATACTTGTCAATGTGCGCATCTCGTCTCCCGGACATCCATACAACAGACTCGAACGAACAAAAAGAAAAGATATCAGTAGAAGACAAACCACAGCTTCGAACTTCCATACTTGTCGCCATCCTACAGTTCTCTCTCTCTCTCCGAGAATAGCTTAGCTGCTAAGAGCTGCCCCTTTGTATATTTATCTCATATTTAATCGCATTTAACCGACATTTTTAACTTTAGTTATTCAATAAATGCTTTGTTTATTCGTTAAACCTGTCTCCTGTCTTTGAAAGGACGCCTGCTGACTTGCTCACTTCCCTTGCCACTCGATAAAAAGCCATCCGAAACGACAGCGTGAGCGGTCCTTGCAGACTGTTGTGTGATACCGTGTATCACACATGTGTTAGCTGAATGAACTTTGATTTCGGTCCAAATAGTTTTTACTAAGCCATTTAGTTAAAACCCGTTTTGTCTAGTTAAAACTAGTTTTAACTGAAATTCATTTTTGACTAGCAGTAAATTCTAGTTTTAACAAAGGCATCCAGTAAAAACTAGTTTTAACTAGTTAAAACGGGTTTTAACTAAAATCGGGTTTTAACTGTAACATATACAAATATAATTGTTCTCTTTTCATGTTCATATATTCAGTCATTGTAACTAAATAAGTCTTTGTACTGTACCTGTGGTCACAAAAATTTCCAATATAAACTGATTTCTAAATAAAATAACAGCTTTATAATTCCTCAAAGTTGACACATTGCAAAAGGAGTCTGAAAGTTTTAGCAAAGTCATGACTTCAATGCAGGGCCCATATGGTATGACGACATCTTCAGAACAATCCCATAAAATTTTTGTAGGTGATCCACTTCCAATTTGCCAAACCCATCCCTCACTGTCCAGTTATCTATGTTGTGGATCTGATCAACCCAATAGTATGTATGGAAAAAAAGGCCATTTTAGTATCCACAGGGCAGAAAAAGTAAAAAAAAAAAAAAAACATTAATAATAGCGAGGTTGAGGCTGAAATTTTAAACACAAAAACGTGTACATCGTAAACAAACGTGCTTTCCTGTAAGCCTAGAAGTTTGACAATGGTGTTTGGATAGTCAGTGGAATCATGCTCAACATTCCAAACACCATTGTCAAACTTCTAGGCTTACAGGAAAGTGGCACTGAACATCCGATGTACACGTTTTCACATTTAAAACTTCAGCCTCAACCTTGCTAATGCTTTAAAAGAACAAATTGTCTCATACATTATAATATAAATATTACTGTTTATGAACCAAATTTCAAAAGTTTTATTAGTTAATATTGTTCAAAGATAATTTCAGAAAAAATAATGTTCAAAAAAATTCAATTTAATGTTTCAAAATCATTAAACAGATTAAATACATTTTATTCTCTTTTCTGAGAATTTTAATTTTTATATATTTCAGATATATGATTATTTTCAGAGTTGACAAACCATTATTATAATATTTATTATATTAAACAAATTTATAAGCTGCTATTGTTCAAATCAAAGAAAAACAAGGGGGGAAAATCAATCAAATGACTATTACTAGATATGAATTCACATGCACTTTATTGTTGAAATATGTCATTTGATCTTGAAAGAAATTTTTTAATGGTTTTTTTCATATTTAATTTTTATCATTTAATTCATTACCAAAATTATATAGGTTGTTCGGAAAGTAAGTTCATTTTTTTACCACTAGATGGATTAGTCGTATTTTTCCCACCATTTTCATTCTAAACCGTATTATCATTATATATTTTGACAGCTGGCATTTTAAGGCTTATTTGTAAAAAATTTTGATTTTGTGCAATTGTTTATTTTTTGTGTCCCATCAAATATGGAAGATCAAAAGCAGCATTTTCGGCATATTTTGCTCTTTTATTACCGAAAAGGTAAGAATGCTGTTCAAGCGAGAAAAAAATCGTGTGACATGTATGATGGCGATGTATTGACAGAACGACAGTGCCAAAACTGGTTTACATAATTTCATTCTGGCAATTTTAATATTGAAGATGCACCACGTTCTGGATGGCCAGTTGAAGCCAACAAAAACAAAATAAGGGTACTGATTGAAGCAAACTGCCAAATAAACAAATTGGTTTTGTTTCAAAGCTCGATATATGGCTTCCAGATGTTCTTAAAGAGAGATGCTCTCTTTGGTGAGATTTTAAGGAAATTTTTTTTGGAGCTTTTACCAGACAATTTAACAATTGATTCGAAAGTGTACTGCCATCCAGTAAACAAATTGAGTAATATCATCAAACAGAAAAGGTGGCCAGAATTGATCAACAAAACAGGCATAGTGTTTTACCATGATAATGTCAAATTTCACACAAGTTTGGCAACTCCTCAAACTGTTACAGTTTAGATGGGATATGCTATCACACCAACCATATTCGCCAGATTGAGCACACTCAGATTATTACTTGTTCCGGTCTATACAATATATTTTTAACCGTAAAACATTTACTTGAAATGACAATGTCAAAAATCACTTGGATCAGTTTTTTGTAAGCAACGATCAAAACTTTTACGAATGTGAAATCATACTACTACCAGAAATGATGACAACAGGTATTTGACCAAAATCGTCAATATATAATTCAATAAAATATTTATTTATTATAAAAATATTGTGTTTTTTCCATGGAAAAAAATGAACTTACTTTCGGAACAACCCAATATTTAGTCAAAGTACTTTCACTTTTATGTATAATAGACATTATTTTTAAAATATTTTAAATCAAAATTACAAGATATATTTTCATAAAGAAAATAGTTTGCTTTTACTTTTATGTTTGCAAGTTCATTGTTTGAAAGATTACTCTGAGTTTATGACCATTTTTACAATTGATATGTTGACAGTAAAATAGCATTATGTTTATGAAAGAATGGCAAAGACCTCTATTGGCCATTGTATAGTGACTCAAATATAGTAAAATAATAAAATATTAGCAGATGATTAATGTTTAGATCCTTGTCAATAAACCACTACATTAGTACACTCCGATTCATAATTAAAAAGCATCTATTTAATAATACTTACATGTTCTCGAATTTTCTTTTGAATCTCTCTTTGCATATTGCTGCGCTTTTCTTCAGCAATTTCTAACTTTCTCTGAACTCTATCTTTTAACTGATCTACCTGTTCTTCCATGTTACTCCTTATTTCAGCTATGTGCTTATCCTTATTTTAAAAATGTGCAACATGCAAAGCCCATGAACATGCAAACAAAATTTCTGAATTATCAGTCAAAATACTTACATGTTCGTGGAGTTTTTCCTGAAGTTCTTTCTGTATAGCATCACGATTTTCTTGAGCAATTTCTAATTTTTTTTGCAATCTATCTTTCAGCTGATCAACTTGTTCATCTAACTGCAATCTGACATCTGCTATGTGTTTGTCCTTTTAAGTTTAAATAATTATAACATGCAAAAACAAAAATAAACAACTAAAAATAATTGCAACTTAAAACCATGCAATGAAAATAATTCTCAAATTTTGCACACTCACTAACATTACAAAAGGCAATGGAACAGTAGGAAAAGCCTCTTTTTTTATAAGGGCCTTAATTAAAAGCAACTGATTTATAGATTGGTGGATCATAAGATGCATTACAAAAGGTAACTTATTTATTCCTAATGTTTATTTTTATAAGATCTATTTTTAACTCTTCACATTTGCAAGCATTAAGGAAGATCATTAGACTTATAGTTCATAAAATCAAACAATCAAATTATCACTAATCTTTTACAGCAGTTTGATTGAAAATTGTAAATTACAAAGTTTTATATAATGCAACAAACTGGGCATTATATAAAACTTTCATCTGTACTGTGCATTATATAAACTGGGCTTATTAAACAATTACAGTAAAAACCTATCTGAAACAAAACCTGAATAAATGGAAAAAATTCAAGACAGCAATTTTCTGTGTTAAAAAAAACTGTTTGAAACAGAAATCTGTTAAACCAGAAAAAATACTCAGTATGATGTGATTTCAGCTTGCACAGGTTTTACTGTGTCTGTGTGTGTGTATATATACACACACACAAGAAACTGATGGATATGCAAAATAAGTAGATTATATAAAGTAGATGAAGTATGAGAATAATGATAAAAAATGCAATAAAACTCAAAATACTTCATATAAAGGTTACAGAGTTAATTGCATTAAAATTAAAAATCACACATTAAAGCACTCTCTCTTATGTTGCAAGCAACATAAGAGAGAAAAAAAGGGTCAAAATGCAAATCCCTAAGTGAAAGAGAGTCATTTTGTGTTGGAATGTGGCTTCCTAAATGAAAAAAAAACTACAAAAGTTTTATTAAATATTATTTATCAAACATACTGTTTTGTAACTTCTCTTGAACCAAACATTATTTGAAACAATGAGTTTTGAATGTGCAAACTTTTGAGAAAAATTTTCAAAACAAAAGCAGACAAAAATACCCACATGCTCTCTAAGACGTTCTAGAAGTGCAAGTATGTGTAGCTCACGTGCTTCTGCGGCACTTTCCAATTTTTTCTGAATGTTTGTTAAAGTCTCCTTAGTTTGAATATCCAAAGATTTACGTACTCCTTCTACTCGTTCCCCAATTTTTAAACCCTTTAGTCGAGAGTATTTAATTTGGGATACTTTTAAAGCAAAAGCAATTTAGTTTTAGGGTTAAATTTTAATTACTACTTACACGCTCTTTTAATTTTTCCTGAATAGACTTGAGATACGCTTCCCGGTTTTCTTGTATAATGCCCATTTTTTGTTCAAGATTTTCTCGTGTCAACTGCATAAAATTGTTATTAAATTCTTGTTTCTTCTGGTTAACTTCTTGCAATTTTATATTCTTTTCACTAAGTTGATTCAATTTCTGAGCTTCTAATGACTAGAAGTTTCAAAACATTTTCAAATTTATTAAGTAATCATCAAAAAATTAAAGTTTTAAAATAATACAGTGGTGCCTCGTATAACGTACGCCTCGAATAACGGACGCTGCGAACAACGGACTTTCTGTTTGGTTGTTACGTGACTCGAACAACGGACTGGCTACGAACAACAGACTTTCCATTAGGCAGTTACGTGAGGCGAACGACAGTCTTTCTGCGAACAAGTGTGAATGATGTTTCCACTTTTTTGTCGTTGCCAATGACAATCTGCTATTTTTATAATATATTAGTATTAGTAGAATATATTATTAGTATATCTGAAGTACAGAGATCCCGTTAGGATTCGGCTTGCTCCCTTGTTTATTATGTACATCGCCTCAGTGCAGAGGGTATTTACATTTATTCAAGTGTTGTGAAAATCATGACTTCTAAAAGCACAGAAAGGTGATTTCAATTGAAACAAAGCAAGAAATCATCATAAGAAGTGAATGTTGACAAAAACTTATTTGTCACATGGGAAGAGGTTCAGGAATTTACCAACACTCATCCAAACAGAGCCGAGGCCAACAGGATCAATGATCTCTACAATGACACCCTTGCCCATCATTTCCAACAGGTGTTGAAGAAGAGAGAGAAACAGACCACCTTGGACATGTTTTTCAAGAAGCAAGCTGCCAAAAAACAAAGGATAAAACAAGAGGAGATGGCTCTGCAAGCTCCGGTAGCCTCTCCTGAATCTGACTCCGAGTAAAAAAGCAATAAAAAGAGACCTACTGTAATGTGTAAAAAGTCTGTATCTGCATAAATATGTAAAGAAAGTGTTCCTCCACCTCCTCCTCACAACATCTGACTACTCGGCATAATTGGTGACTGCTCCATTTTCATTTTTTTTTTTTTATGGTACAGTACGGTTATTTTATGCTGTGGAACGAATTATATGTTTTAACATGTATTTCTAAGGGAAAATGCGTTTTATATAACGGACTTTTCACTTAACGGACATGCACCTGGAATGGATTAAGTACGTTATACGAGGCACCACTGTATTTTTTTATTGACCGACGTATTAATCCGAACATTTATAAAATTAAAGTGTTAAGACAAAATACAAAATTTAAATGTAGATCTGGATTAGACCAGACAAATTTTGGCAATAAAAACACACCTGTCTTCTCTCTTCAGCAGCCTTTAATTTATTTGCAATTTCTTCCACAGAGACATTTTTCGGCGGCGAATTCGGACGTTTGGGTCCCTCAGTGGCTGGCTCGGACAGCACCAGCTCGTACTTTATGCCTCCCTTAGATTGCTCTGCAGCACGGAGTTCAGCTGAAACAAAATGATTTCCAATTCAATCACCCCTCCATTCACATGCTCAGTTTACCACTTACTAAAATTTTACACATTCCAATTCAGTCTATCCGACACTAGTAGTACACTAACTTAAAATATAAAAATTATTAAATTACTTGATACGCCACAAGACACATTTGGTGCCATAACTGGGCGGGTGCACGGGACTAACAGGCCACAAAACAACTGATGTCATAATTTTCTTTTCAAATTTTAAGTTTTGCCTCTATGCAGACAGATTATCGAATCAGTCTGCATGGACAGTTAGATGTTCTGTTTAATTAAATTAAAAATTAACCAGTCAATTCTATCCTATTTGTTTTATTTATTTTTAAAGAAAAGGGGAGAGCCAAAACTAAAACTTCACATGGGGCACACAAAAGGCTAGTTACAGGATCAGACATAGCTATCTATACTAATATTATAAAGAGGTAAAGTTTGTAAGTTTGGATGTAGGATGTAATCTCCAAAACTACTCATCCAATTTCAAAAATTCTTTCACCAGTATTTAGAATGGACCTTCAGGGTGAACATAGGCTGTATACTATTCCGTTAAACATTCATATAAATTAAAAGATATCATCTAGATAAGCGTTATATTTTTGGTGTCAGCGGGGGGTGAGGGCAAGACACGTACATATACGAGATAGTAACCGTGCGGCGCAGTCGCGTGGTCGGTGAGATACGCAGTGCACGTGTCCGAACTTGTGATATATAAAATTACACGTCCTGACAGATTCATCATCGCCCAGAGCAAACCACTGAACCTAGAGGTGAAATTTGGTACATAGTTAGGGTATGTAACGAAAATGCACACTAAGAAGGGATTTTTTGAAATTCCCCACAGGGAGGAGGGAGAGGATTAAGGCTTAACCTGAAGAACGTCTTCTACTGTACTATTTTAGATGTGATGTTTTGTTTTTATAGTAACAACTAATGTTGAGAATCTTAGTGAAGTATCAAGGGAGGGTTATTTCTATCAAATTGCAAATTCTAGCTAGTTACTTTATATCAGTGTTTCTCAACCTCTAACGAATCGTCGCCCCCTTCACTAAAACCGTTACATAGTATCGTCCCCTTCACTACAAAATTCCGATGCCGAGGGACAAGGCTAACGCCAAATTCGTACTGCATCGAATAGATTAGTGACTAGTATAATGCTATTTGTTTAATTATTGTACGATATAACAAAATATCTAATTATTCTTAATATAATGTTTTACTATATCGCCCAGAAAATTGTTTTTTGCCCCCCAAAATATAAATTGTTGCTAATCGCCCCCTGAACATGGAAAAACGCCCACATGGGGGCGATATCGCCCCTGTTGAGAAACACAGATAGATATAATAAAAACACATTTGATTATATAAAGCAATTTTAGTTTTTAAGTTAATCGACCGGTCACACCAACCGTCTAGAATAGGGTCCTCAAATTTTCAGAAAAAAAGGCACCGCTCGATTTTTAAAATCGTAACATTAAAAAAGTTTCGGGAAAAACCAAAACACTAAGTTATCACATATACACATTTCAATTTCATCCATAAAGTTTCCATTAATTAAAATAATAATTTACAACACCCATTAAAATTTTCTACCGATATTTTAGAGCCCACAGAAAAGCCGGAGGATACCCATTAAGTAGGAGGGTCACCACTAAAATTTCTAGTCAATTCACCGAGAGCACGGGGGACGGGGAGTGCCAAACGCAATGCGGTGTTTACGGCATCCACGTGAGGAGGTTACCGACCCAACCTCAAATATCGATTTATCTTTCCCGACTTTTCTTTCGTATACCAAAAGCCGGACGGGCTTGGAGTAATCGATCGATTTTTTTTTAAAACAATACGTCGAAAGGTATTCTTCGGCAATTAGCGCCATTTTTTAATTACGACGGCGACACTTATTTGAATCTATAGTCTTCGCTTCCGACGACAACGTGCCCTTCCGAAAATCGCGTCGCAATGCGGTGCCACTTACTCGTCTACGAATTATTGTCAAATTTCGATCTAACGAATTTCGCCCGGGAACGAATCGAACGATAAAAATTTTGACTCCCTTAAAGAAATCAAAATCTTCAAAAAAAATTCTACACGAGCAGCGTCAAGAACGTCGGACGTTCGAGATAATTTTAATTTATCGTCAAAATATAATCGAGTTAAGATAATATTGTCACAGAACGGCTTATTAATGTATAGAGAAATATTCGTTTTTGCCGAGGCAAAATCAAAAAAAAAAATTTGTAAAGAGAAATAGACATACCGTTATCGGTCATGGCTGAAAGCGAGGGTAGTTTCTTCTTTGGCTCGATGGAACAGACTGAAGCACTGAAAGAGAAGGCACCCTATAAGAATATTAGCCGGTAGGGGGCGACGTATAAAATGACCAAAAATAGCAATCTATAAAAGATACGCGGTATTTTTTCCAACGGAGTTCGTTACCACCGATAAATTTTATCCAACAATCCGATTCTCGAAACGTTATACAAAATAATCGATCCGACAGTCTTCCAATTAATTTCCAGGAAAGCTTACTTTTTTTTAAAAAGTGAATGTCAACGAATGCAAATACCGCGGTGATCATTTATAGTCAATTTTTTTTTGTGTTATTAGAAATCGATAAGGTCGGATAGTGTAAAATAAATATTCAAAAAGATACGCGATAACATAAATAGATCGATGCCTTTAATAAGGGCCGAAAAGATATACAGGATATCGATTACGCGGTCTCTTTTAGGGAGGCTTCCCATCGCCGTAGAGAATATTGCGGACAAGTCGACTTTACCGGCGCCTTACGACCGTCGAGTCGATATCGGCGTTAGAACGTCGCAATTAACGAATTACCACCCGATTTCTATTCTGTGCTGCAATTCCGTCAGAAATAACGTAACTACGTGTCATCGAGAGATCGAACGCCAGTCACTAAGGAAAAATAGTCCGTCGCCAAACCGAAGTGAGGCCCGAGGTTGAATTCTACTGGGGGGTGGACGGGATTCGAGTAAATTTGACTAAAAATACACCATCGAAGGGAAAACCCGATAACGACCGATGACGCGAGTGCAACGATTTACCTGGCACCTATCGATTTTCGATGACAAATTATAAATAGTTACTTCTACTGGAAAGCTCTATATTTGATTTATTCTTATCTGGATTCATTTCGACGCTATTTGTCTACAACAAAGATCTAATAGTAAGGAAAAATTCAAACTATTAGATCAATGTATCGTCGTTCGAACTAAATCGAGTAATTTTAATTTGAATGAAGATAAATTGCACTTTTTTATCTCTCGTAATACTCTGTAAATTATTATTTTATTTTCGACCGTAATGAAAATTGTCACATTAATTCGTACGTAACTGATATTAAGATTTTAAAATTAAATTTCCGGACGAAAATCAATCATTTATGTAAAAATGCTAGAAATAATGTACCTGATAATATTTTCAAAATCAAAATGATCGAAAATCGGAATTAAGTATTTAGTTATTACTGTTTCTAATAATAAACTCTTTTGAATGAGTAGCCAAAAAATTTATTATAAGAAACAATCGATCAAACCGTACAGTATCTATTTAGTGTACTCGTTTGTTAAGATATCAAAAGTTAATTTAAGCAATTAAAATGAGCTGATTTTTAAATTAAATGAATATTTTCACCAAATTTTAAATTTTAATGAAAACAAGTTCATTTAACTTAATTTAAAAACAAATTTTTCGCGAAACGTGGAGATAGAAACGTATGACCGCCATTTAGTAACCGTCATGTCCGTAACTGTAGCGGTCTCGGTTTACTTGTGTTGTCGGGTAACGGTCGAGGTTAAATATTAACTTGTCTATCTCACTCCGTACAAATTAATCCGTGATTGGTGTTAACTTTTAAAGTTAAAAGGCTATGTGCAAAGAGGAAAAATAATCAATTTGGTAAAGTATTGTGAAATCTTATAAGCATTGCGTGTGTGTGTGTGTGTGTGTGTGTACAGTAAGACCCCGCATAACGCGGGGAATGCGTTCCTAGACAACAAAGCGCTAAGCGAAACAGTGTTAAACGAGGTCATTTTAACAGAGTAAATAGGGATAGGGGAACACGCAACCAAAAATAAAATTAAAGTTATTTTTATATTAATTTGTCAAATAACATATGTTAAATAACAAACAAACATATGCACACAGGAATGTAAAGTTCATTTTTTGTGATGAAGGTCCTGACTTTTCTGAAATTCTTGTTCTTTTGCAATAAAGTCGTGAAGTTTCATTTGTCGCTTTTTTCTTTCCTTAAGCAAATGTCGGTAGTGGAAGATCGCATCCAAAACACCTTGTTTTGCATTTGCACTCCTTTCAAAATATGGATCATTCCCTACAATTTGATCAATGATTTCGGTCATCTTACCATACTTTTACTAAGGAAATCTGTGAAATTTTTTGGGTTCTTCGTTTTCAGAATCTCTATTTTTCAGTTCCACATGAATTCCATGTTCTGCCAGTTCTTGAAGGTCGTTGTTGGTAAGGCTTTCACCAGAAACCTGCTGTAACTCCTCAATATCCTGCTCGTCTATACCTCCTAGTCCTGCTATATCGATTAGGTTGAATTTGGTCAACCTAACGATACAGCGATAGACTCTTCTTGTTGAGAATTCTTGGATACCTTCAGCCATAACTTCTTCCAAATTTCGTTCGTGCATTTATCAGTTAATTCTTGCCGAGCGAAGTCAATATTGCCTATGGCATCCATGATGTTATATTTTTTCCAAAATTGCACCGAACAAACATAGATTTAAAGAAAAGTACACCTTTTTGCCACCTTTTGCTGATTAGTCTGTGTTTGCAAATAATCATATTATATACAAATTAATGAAATGCCGCAATAATTTAAACTGGAATAAATTTTGAGCTTTTTTAGGCTTCGAGCAGTTAAGCAGGGTCTTACTGTATATATGTATATATATATATACACACAGTAGACCACCCTTATAAAACAGNCGGAGAATATCGACATTCTCTAATTTCGGTCATATACAGTAACATATATATATATATATATACACACACTAATAAATATTGGCAGAATAAGAGACCACAATATGTATTACTTTGAAAGTGCTAAACATTAATGTGTTAAAACCAATAGATTTATCAACATACTAACAATAAATTATAACCGGATCTGAAAAATTCAACATTTGAGTTTGACCCTTGACAATGAAAGGCTAATATCTTTATTTAACTATTTTGAAAAAATTTTCACTAAATAATGTTCAAATTCTTTAAAAATTATTTAAAACATATTTAATAAAAACTTTTAATATTTAATTAATATACAAACACACCACACACAAAAAACCAGTTTTGAATTATTAATTGACAAACTAGATAAATCCTGTTGTTAATAATTATAAATAGCTGCTTTCATATCTAACTTAGCAAATAATTTTGGAATAAATTGGACTAATAATTTAAACAATGGCTTAATTTTGAATTCAGCCTAACAAAAGTATTCATTTTTTAGTAAATACTTTTTATCTAAATTTCTTATAAATCTAGATGAGATTTTTTATCTGAATTCCAAAAACTAAAACAAAACGTATGACTGACATGCTGCGTGATCTGCAATTTAAATCGTTAACTCTCTTATCCTGGTCGTATGACGATGAGTGTAGTTATGGTATTAAAAGGCACCAGTAATTTGAAAATTATTATGTAAATAAATTAATTTGGCACAATTAATCAGGAATTCAATCATGTTTATATACTTTTATAAATTTATATAAATTAAAATATATAACAGCTTTAAAATTTATTACATCAATTAAATTTTTTCATTTAGAGAGAGTATTATCTAGTTATTACAAGCATATCTGCTTCTAACAGTATTTTTAAAGATTCTCTATCTCATTCCATTCAAATTCAGGAATTATAATCAAAATATTTTATCATCATCATCATGAATAAAAAATTACATTAAAAAATCTTCAAAATATCATTTTAAAAATTAACTTATTTTTACTTTAAAAACAAAATGAATTGTAATAATATTCATGAGATGTATTGTTTGAACAATAGATTTAGGTTAAAAGTGTTATGTTTGCATAATGTAAAGTAAAGAGGTTTTAAAATCAATATTCAAATTATATATATATTTTTTTGCCTGAGGAAGACATTTTGAAACAAATAAAATTTACACTGAAAGAGAGTACAATTTCTTACTTATATTTGGTATCATATGTGAGAATAATAAAAGTTTTACTGAACAGTTTAAATAACAGTATCAAATTACTAATTAATTGATACCAAATTTTATTAAGGATGAATTATCTGCATCTAGTGTCATAAGAATACAGAAATAACTATTTGATCAATGAAAAATCAACAATATTAAATTTTCATATTATTAATATGAAATATTTGTGCCACAGTTTAGTTTTGGCTGACAATTCTGACATTATTTAAATGAATTCATAAAATATTCAATAACAAGCTATAGTCTTTGAATTTACAAATTATTGAAATCCAATTCATATAATTTTAATAAAAAATATACTGAATACAAATATTTAGTTCTGAAAAGATAATTTAGCATTTCACAAACTTATAGTAAATTTTTATAAAGAGCTAACAGTATCAAAATTTGCAAGTTTTATCTTCATTCTTCAAATTTTACTGAAGACCCTATAAAAAAGAATTTTACAAGTGTTAATATTACCAAAACTTAAATTATTTTCAGAGTAAAAAATCATTAGTTCTGCTCATTAATTCAGATGAGATATTGTTTAACACAGAGGAAAAAATTTAATTCAATCATTTTTTTTTAAATACTATTACAATTTATTCATTCTTAAGCAATACTTTTTAATATCACTGATGAGTGAAATAAAAGATGAAGCAATGTCTTTAAGTCATATACTGTATATTTTCTTTTAATCATATAATTTGTTTATTGTTTAAATTCTGCATCATCTTAGATTAGTTTTAATACAATTAAAGACCTCTGTTGACATCTCATGAATGAATTAAATATATAGCTTTCACTAATTTCTATGTTTTTAATTACTTATTATAAACACATTTGATTAAATGAGTTTTTTACATGTTATTCATATATCTTCAAAGAGAAAGATAACATTACCTCATAACATTTTATCACATTGATAATATAGATGAATCAGCTCCAAAAATATATTTATTGGAACTTTGTTCTAGAAATTATAAAAACAATAAAATTACAAGCTTATGTGAAAGTGATAACAAGAAATCTGAGTTCAGATGGATAAATAGATTACTTGAATTTATTAGTCAAGGGAATCCTTGGCCATACTACACTAAGCAAACAATAAAAATTTGACCATAGCAAGTCACTATTATAAAACATTGCAAATTACTATTCTGAAGACCCTAGCATACCAAAAATACAAAACCATTAATAAATTCAATAGCACTCAACTTATCTAACGACTTTACTACAAGCAATTATGCTCTTAGACAGATGAATGTAGTTCACAGATTACCAAATTATCAAACAAAGTTAAATTTTGGTTCTTCAATTAAGTTAGTTATATTTCATTTGAAAAATTTTGTCTGTGGTCAATTAGCACAATATTATATATAAAAACTATACAAATTATATTATATGCAACATGTAAAGACAGTTTCATCAAGTAACCAATAGATAGCACCTAGTATTTCTAAAGCATGCCATAGTTTGAAACAAACAAAAATCAGTAATTTACTAAATTATTAACAATAATGATTGAGAATCTTAGTGAAGTACCAAAGGAGGGTTATTTCTATCAAATTGCAAAATCCACACGGGAAAAGCCGCGGGTACAGCTAGTTTTTCATAATAATACAGATTAATTTCACATATTATTTGAATTTAGTTTATTATATATATATAGAACAGCATCTAGATATTCCAGACAATTTTTGCTGGACCTTAATTCTTTTATGTTGTATAATGTTAAAAATGTTTTAAAATCATTTGTAAATGTAAGTTTAAAAAATTATTCAAAAATNATGATTAATCTGTGCTTACAAATTACATTTTATTTTGATTAATATATAATGTTTACTAGCTGCATATAAATTCAAGAAAAATTATCTTTATATGATCTATACAATGTGTAACAAAAACAAACAAATTTATACACTGTATATTGAAGAAACAAAGTTATATCATATACTATCAGCACAAAACCTTTCTCACTAATTTCTAGCCTGATTTTGTGCTGATAATCTTAGAAATAGTTCTAGCTACATATGCATAGTAGTACATCATATACAACTGAGACAATTATAATTGTCAGCCAATTTTAATTGCAATATATTAAATTTTTTTTGAAAACATGTTCAAAAAGCACAATATATATGACATAGATATATATACACTAGTTTACAGTATATTTTTTTATTTGAATTTCCCTGGAACTATTAAATATTCATTTTTGTTCCTACTGAAAATATTTGATTCACTATCTATAGGTTATCAAAGAAATTAAAAGGCTTTAAAGCTTTAGACTAGACAGTTTGGTTAAATTTATTTTTGATTATCATCAGAATTAAAAAATAATTAAGGTAGATGTATAAGTGACAATGACATTATCTGAAAACAGTATTATTTTAAACACTTCTATTAATCAGTTACTGTTAATGTAATACAGTAACAGGAGTAGCAATGACATCATAACTGAATCATTAGATAAAAATAATCTGCACAAATACTCTCATTGGATTAAAGACCGAGTAAATTAGTAGGTAAATTTATATTAATTATACAAAATTAAGATTTTGATTTATAGTAAACACTATATTTTATTATTTTACATAATAAATTTTTGAAAATGAAGTTTTATTTAAATTATTATTTACTGGTCTTTCAGAAACATCTGTTAGCTCACTGTTTAACTATCAGCTAATAATTTGAATAAAATTTGCACAGTAAATTTTTACATAAAATTTTATGGATAATTTCTTGAAATTATTATACTGTATTTGTTCTTATTCCAAATAATAATATGGTTATTTAAAAATTACACAACTTTAAGGAAGACATAATATAAAAATTTTGCAAAAATATTATTCAAAACACTCTTAATTCATTAAACATGAAAAATAATTATTCTGTATTTTAATTATCCTATTATAGTATAAATTAAAACAGCCTTTTAAAAGTTTTATCATAAATACACAATTCTAAATTCTAAATAAATTCACAATTCACAAGTCTTTAATTCTAAACAGAAACTGAATATTCAAATTTCTTGAATAAGTTTACAATAATAAATAATAATATACAGTAAACTCCCTATTATCCACTTTGCGGATTATCCGTGCATGAATTTAATTTAAAAAAAATTATTATATGTGTATGTATTTTTTAAATAGTTGCTCGCTTTCATGTTTACACATCCTATAGGTGTGCACGTGTTCGTATTTAGATGTTTGAAGTGCATTAGTCACAATACGGCCCTGAATTCTGTTGACACTGTTGGAGTACATCAACCAATGGGAATTTGAGTATAACAACATAATAGCTCTTAGAAAAATTCGAATTGATATTAAAAAATCATTAAAAGATTTCTGCAAACAAACCAAAATCACAGATTTTCTTAATAATAATAAGCATTAACATATTCAAATAATTGTCTGCCTTAGAAATGTATAATGTGTTGTATTTTAGAAATAAATAATTATAGTTCGGATTATCCATGTTTTTCGATTATTGGTGCCACCTCTCCCCACCATTAGCCCAGATAATTGGGAGTTTACTTTAAAAAAATCAGTCAAAATTTTTCAACCTATAAAAATGGCTAGTGGCTTTAAAGCACTTTCAATTGAATGTACTACAGTAAACACTCGATTTAGCAGAGACCCCAATTTAACAAACTTTGGAGTTAGTGGACAAAAACTTGTCCTACAAGAAAAACTTAAGCTTTTTTATTCACGAACAGAGCATGCTAAAAGGTTGAAACAATGAGTCAAATGATTATAAATTACTCAATGGAAATATTATTATTTTACTCACACTTGTACATCACATCATCTTAAAACATCCTACACAATTTAAATTCAAAATAAACAGATTTTAAAACACGTTCGATTGGTTGGTTGGAGTTGGGAGTTTGTAGCACAAGGGCCTAGCTGGGTCAATGAACACATTCAATTTTAACGGACTTTCGTTAATAGCGAATACCTCTTTCTTCCAATTAGTCCATTAAATAAAATGTATATTCATATTTATTATTTTCAGTGCTTGTCTTGTTTTTAAGGTTTTCAGAATTTTTTAATGCTTTTGCTGTTAAATCTTATTTTTGTTTGTTCTTTTAGGTCTAGCACTATTAATAAAGAATAGTGTAAATATGGTAAGACCCTCAATTTAATAAACTGGTCTGGGAAAGGATGTTCACTATTGCTGAAAGTTTGTTAAATCTATTGTTCTTTTTTTAAAAAAAAGAAAATATATAACAGCAAACTTACAATGTACAGGATATATAACATGAAACATTTTAATACAGGTATGAATGAAATATTATAATGTGCACTGAGCAATTTAGACACTCCACCAAAACATGTTAATTTATAAAAAATAAATTTACAACTGAACTGAACATCATTTTAAACATGTTAAAGAGTTTACAATTTCAGCATTAATATAGTGGAAATAATTAATCATTAGTCTTTTAGTGTGCTGTTTTCATGAATAAAAAGTTATTTTTCTTTTTGTCTGTGAAAAAAGGGTCTTAAACCTAACCCACTATATTAATGAGTATTGCTAGTAGTATGCTTGAAATTTAAAATTTTCCTCAAACATGAGTGGGGTCTTAAGTTATTACTTAGGTTCACTTTGAAGAAAAACTGTTCAGTTCTTCCATTTTCTTTTTTCCTCTTTAAAATCTATTGTGTAACAAAACTGTGTGTGTGTGTGTGTGTGTGTGTGTGTGTGTGTGTGTTAACACTTCAAAACTTATCACCACTGAGAAATGTTAATGATATAAATTGGAACAAATAAGGTCCAGAGCACATTTCCCATTAGGCCCGGGCTTAGGTGCACAAAAATTCAAATAATAATAATAAGAAAAAACAATTTATGAAGGTACATATTAGTGCAAATTAAAAGCTTAAGTAGGGAGAAAATAAGGCATCAGTTGAGTAGTATTATTGAGTGTATGAATATATTTTTCACTAACAGAATGGTAGTACATATACTAATGACTGTGTCCTTATGCCCTTTGCAGGTGCCCAACAGGCTGAAAAGCGGGACATTCCAATTTTCAACGCGAGTGTTGAGTGTTGAAGTCAACAATTTGACATCATCAACGACGTTCCAACTCGAGTACGAAGTGCTTACTTCCCATAATTCCATTCTCAGCAAGATGGATTCCATTCAAATGTCTTACCAATTACCCACAATTCATTGGAAAGTAGCAGTCAACATATCTGTTGAGTGCTGAGTGTGTTGAGTCAGCGCTGACAACAGCGCTACCTTTGAAAAAATGAACGAATTTTGGCAAATGTTGAGATCAGCGCTGAGTCAGCGTTGAAAATTGGAATGTCCCGAAGAGGCAAAGGCTGGAATGCAACACAAAATCAGCAACTCATGGAAATCATTCATCATCCAAAAACTGAATGTTAGATCAGAACTGTACAAGATTTGTATTGTATTTATTTGTGATATGTGCTATTGTATTAACAACTTCACCAGCTGCATTGTAATTTTAGCTCGATTCAACCTGTAAAAAACTTTTGTTACACAGATTTAACTGAATTTAGGTTTTATTGTATCAGTATCCTAAACCATGAATTTATTTTTCTCAACTTTGATATTTAAAATTCTGTAAAAATACAATCTGTAGAATTAAAAGTATAAAATAGAACCATTCGGTGCAAAAGTGGCACTGTTAGTTTGGGGATGGGCGGGTATACTCATATATTGTGGGCCTAGGGGCAACATATTTGTAAATGCACCACTGAATATGTCAATAAAAAAAACTGAGTGAAGAAACTGTTCTATATGGCTCAACTAGTTGTTTCTACTAATATAACAAAATCGGAAGGCAAAAACACAGGAATAGAAATCTTTATTGGTTAAATTAAAACTGATCAAAGCACAAAATATTCATATAGTTTTAAAAACTTGTTATTCAGGAAATAGAGCATATAGCAAAACATCACTAGTTTAAAATAAGAACAAATAAACGAGGTTAGAATACAACAGAGTAATACAATTTTGTAATTTGTTCAAACACATTCATTGCTGCCATTATAAATTGATATTATAACCAGAGTTGGAAAATTTATGTTTTTTTTTTTTTTTTTAAATAAAACAATAATACACATTTTATTTAGAAAACTTTGTTTTTTTGTTTCAAAACAGTTTTATATTACATTATAAAATAATGTTTTAAAACAATGTTTTAAATTTAAAAAAAAAATGTTTATATTACATAAATTTAGTAAATAAATAAAAATATAATTTCTAAAAATAAAAGATTATCTTTAGATAAGATAAACGAGTAAATTAAAAACTCTTTCTTAAACCGATTTCGAGTAATTTGTATTAGCAGACAAATAATTAACAAAGATACTTTACTTCAGCCAACTCTATTTTTTAAATAAATCTTTCCCAGCATGCATCAACGTTTAGACCGACATTCTGATTTAGACTGACAATGTTTAGACTGACATTCTAAAATCATTCTCAAATGCACCAACTTCCAGTTTTATGCAGAGCATAAATTCGTTTAAAGCTTCATAACAGGATTCTATTCTTACCGATGGATACAGGCTTTCAAAATCCATAACGGACCCTACTTCTTCATCCATTAAACTTAACTCTTGTAACTCCTTACCGATATTGGTCAGGTGCATTTGAGAATGATTTGAAGGAATTAGCCAAATTGATATGTTATGAGTCCTCCTTCAGCTATGACAAGAAGGTATACAGACAGAAGAAAGTCGTACCTATGGGAAGCCCAATGTCAGGGTTGTTATGCGAACTGGTTTTACACAACTTAGAAAAGCAAGTGGTTAATAGCTTCAAAAAAGATATTGTATTTTACAAAAGATATGTGGACGATGTGTGCACTATATGGAGAAACAACGAAAGAATACACGAGTTTATACAGGTGATTAACAACAACAACAATGATGGTTTGAAACTGAAACTAGAACAGAAGAGTCACGAAAGAATACATTTTCTAGATATTGACATACAATTAAAAGGAGATTGCATAACAATGAGCATTTACATAAAACCTACACACAATCCTCTCTACATACCAGCTAATTCGAATGATCCGCATGAATACAAAATGTCAGCATTTCGTGCACTCATTAGGACAGCATTTACTTATTGCTCCAATGTATTGGACAGGATTAAAGAGATTGACAGAATTAAGGAAGTAGCTTCAAATTAAATTTGGGTTACCGCAAAAGTACAATTGAAGGGCTAATATAAAGTTATGAAAGGGGCAAGAAGTTAAGAACCGGAACAGATCAATTTAAGATCACCAAATTTACATATAATAAAAACTTCAGGGACATCATGAAGCAAATTTCAGACAAAAAACGCTCCAAAATTGTTTACAAAAGAGGTCCTAATTTATACAGTACTCTTAGAAACGATAAGGACAAGCTTAAGAAAGAAGAAACAGCAGGAGTGTATAAAATTCCCTTTGAAAACCAACAGCTAGGAATTATGAAGGACTATATTGGAGTCACTAGATGGAATTTGGCTATTAGGCTTAAAGAACACAGATATGACATTAGTAAAGGGCATTGTACCACGGTTTTGTCAAGTATGGCACAAGCGGAAGCTTCAGTAGTTAAATGGAATGAAGCGTCTATTCTCAAGACGTTGCGGTCCCCATCGTTGGCTTTGCAACATGAAAAAATTGAAATTTATAAGAGTAAATTAAGGGACGGTTGTATCAATGCAAGGGATGCTGACGGTTTAGCTTCGGCATGGAAATTCTTTGTAAAAGAAAAGTTAAAACACACAAATTCTTAGTTCATATCTGCCTTTATAATGTGATGCTTTTTGATATATATATTTTATGAATTTAATCATTTTTGTGCATTTAATCTTTTAGATTTATTTTTGTTTTTAGTTTTATACCGCCTTATTATTTATTATTTTATTATTTATATCAATCTATTTATTATAGTTATTTTGTATAGTGGTTGGATTATTTTACGTTTTAATTTTGAATTTGTAATGTTCGAAAGTTCCGTTTTAATGCAATTTTCAAAGGTGTTCGATAACTTGTCACTCGATGATGGCCTATTCCATTAGGCTGAAAACGTTTGTGTATTAATAAATATTTCTCAGCATTATAAGGTGTTGAATGTTTTATTAAATATTTAAAAGAAGCTAAGTTTGATATTCAATTTATACCATTTATGCTTTTGATATGCTATAATGATACTTTGTATATTCTCTTATCTTCATGAATATCTATATATGAAATTATAGGACCATGGCAATTAAAGATGCAACTTGGATCTCTTCCTGCACATAGCATCCCTCAAACACCTTACAACTTCTATGTAGAAATCTTTGTTGACTGTCTGATCAAATTTTTCAAGATCTTTCATATTCACTTTGTCAAAAATCTGGTAGCATATATTTACTCTCTCATAGCTCAATGACTAATGCAGATAGTATGATGCAGCAAGTTGCATAGTGTTTCCAAATTCTGCTGTTGAATGACACCACCAGCCACATTTCATTCCAAGTATGGGTTTTTGCACTATTCAAAAAGTTTGATCTTTTTTGAAGATCTCGTGTGATTGAACATAAATATTCTGTATTTAGTGTTTCATTAGTTTGTAGTTACACATATCAACTAATTAACATCAAGAATGCATATTAACACTAACAACATAGTACTTCATTTATCAAAGAAAAACATTTAAACACCAATACATTGTTATTAATTTTTGATGTTAATGAATAAACATTAAATTACATCACAATATACCTTGTAGATCTTCATTCTTTATACCTAATAAATCTTTATCAATCTTATAAAATTGAATTGTTTTGTTACAACTCATGTTTCAAGTTTCTGCTGATGATTACTTATCACCAAACAAATGTCAGTAAAATATATTACATAATCGGCAAGATAACGAAGTACACAATAAGCAAGTTAAAGTACTTCAAAATCTCGATAAAACGAAACTAAAAATATCAAAAAATAGATTTCTATTTGAGAACTTGTTAGGAAAAAATAATAAATATGATAAATTTTTGCTGCAAATAATTCTTTATTATGGGTTTGGGAATGGTTTTATATAAACAAAAGTATATAATAAAAGGCAGCAAATAAGCTGAATTAGCCTTACTTTTCTTTTTCAGCATTAACTAATTTGATATAAATTTTACATAATCAAAATACGGTATTTTTAATACATCATAATGTCGCATTAAAAATACCATAAAATACAACCGAAGAATATTCTAATTTTAAATACTGTAGGAACGTGCAAAAATTAAATAGTGTTTGGTTTTCATCATCATAAATTTCAATATACATTGTCAGTATTTTTGTCTAAACAATCCAAAATTTAAAATGTTTTTTTCAAAAATGAAACAATTTTTGCAATCTATTTTTATTTCCTAATTTAACATACTAGAACAGAGGTCGCCAAACTTTTCACAGCGGGCCAGATAACCGAGAGAACGACGAGCGCGGGCCGCGCAACCATTTTGTTCAATATAGTATAACAAACACAAAAAATAAAGACAACCAACATATTTATTTACCAATACACAAAGACAACGGCTGCAGCAAGCCGGTAACGGCTTTTCTTAGAAACGTCATTGCAGGTACTTACAGAAAAGCGCTCCGAAATCCTAAGTGGCAAAAAGACGTCAAACTTTTCGTTTCGCCCATTTTCCTATAAATTAAATTACCGTCGAATGCAAAAATTAGATTGGACCAATTTTGCATTTTTACTTACACTTATTTTAATTTTTTCTACGCAGTAAGTTCATCTAAAATCTACGATATTTCCATATAAATAATTATATTTTAGCTCGTTAGCAGCACAGTACGGCGGCGGGCCGGACAAACCGACCCGGCGACCCCCACACCAGAAGACACGTATTCCATCGTCGAAAATCGTCATTCGATGCATTCCCAGTCACGGCGTAAACGAGTGTGAACTATCTATTGATTATATATATAATCAATAGAAAGTTAAATATTAGAGCAAAAGAGCATCAATTAGCTAATCCAGCCTCGTCTAAGTCGGCAATATAAAAAGCACATTCACTGTATTTATAAATATAATCTTTAAATGATCGTAATATAATTACAAGACAACTTGGTAAAATTACTAATAAAATTCTGAAAATTCATTTTTTTAAAATATTAATGTAAAAAACGTTTAATATTTAAAACTCATACCAAAATAAAATCCCAGCGAATTTACTCTTCCTCGATCGGAAAACGCGCCTTCTCTCCGCGGACAATAAGACCTCTTCCGATTGGTCGAAAGTAGAAGCGACGCCAGAGCTTTGGCATTTTATAAATAATAATTACATTTTTAAAAGAAAACATCTTCCTACTTTTACGCTTTTTAATTTATAACATACGTAAATAAAGTTTAAAATAATAATTAGTCGGTTTATAAAATTTTGTTACTTAAAATATTCAACGCTTTCGAAAAGTAAAATTTCGTAAAAAGATTGGTTCCTAAATAAACGGTTTATTTTCGCATCTTATATCGTCGGAAAGAAAGGTTATCGATTCCTCGTAAATAATAAATAGGCCATATCGTCACCGGTTCGACGCTTGGCATTTTATTTGTTCTTTCCGGTTAGCCCCCGTGGCACCACCAATTCTCCAGGAACGTGGAGGGCGGTTCGAATTATCAATTACTAAATTCTAGACGGGACGCCACCCTGTACTTTATCCAAGTTTCTTGGCTTACGACATTTATAAACGCCGTATTCGTTCCTTTACTTTCTTAGGGAGTATCGATTTTAACCATTGTTTTTCGACGACCTTCGAAGACGAAAACTTTCGTCGGCATCTCGACCGGCTATTCCGTTTTTGAAATCCATTGCGTCGATTTAATTATTCCGGAATAATACTTTATAAATGTATACGCCTACTACTGTATGACCAGTGGCGGATTTAGCACTCGAGAAGCCCCAGGAGCGATTCAATTTTGAGGTCCCCTCTAAATATTTTCGCTACCCCTACACCCTGCAGCGTGCATTCTACGCGCACGCTTTTTACTCTGGTAGACACTATACCGGCGGTCCAGAAAAAAGTGATACACGAGGAAATAACATTGAAAATTATTCGATATAAAATTACAATTGTCTGGCTATATTTAAAGGTTTGCTGATGTTGTTCGTGTTGTATTAATTATAAAAATTGAAACTTATCGGTACGAGAATTATTAAGTTTCAATAAGTGTTACAAACCAAAAAAAATCTAGTAATCCGTGGATATAAAAAATAACTTATTTTTAAATTTACTACTGATTAAAATCCGCAAAACATGTCATAGCTGGCGTTATTCATTTGTCAATTTAATTTAGAGAATACTACTAAATTATTAATTATCTTTATTATGAAAAAAATAATAATTAAGTAAAATAATTTTATTTTTATTTTGAGGCCCCAGGCGGGCGCTTCGTGCGCCTGTGCAGAAATCAGCCATTGCGTGTGACTAAATGTATAAATGTAGGACGCGTTGACAATCTTCTCGGTGTGCTAATAGCGCATCGACCACGGAAACTTTTAATAATCTGACGGATTTGAAGGGTTTTGGAAATTACATCTACATGACGGATTTAGAAAATGGCTTCCGAATGGAAGGGCATTTCGGGCCATTGCCATGCAATTCGAAATGAACTTTAAAATACTTTCGTATTTTTCTGCACCGTCGACGAATCGCCATAATTAAAAATACGATAATATAAATGTATCGTGAAATATCTCGAGACTTAGAAACTTGATAAGTAGTTAGATTGGATGTTTCCGACAGTATGTAAAAGTAAACTACGTACAGATTGGGCTGCAATTTGAAAAAATTGTAGACCTATAAATTGCCACCGTCGTCCGTCCGTCTTTCCTTTAATCTCGAGAACGGAGTTAGATAAAATGAAGTCCGGGACCAGATATGGAACGTGCGACTAAATATCCAGATGGCACAACGCGCCGATTGGTCGGCCGAATGACGTCAACCTACCGGAAATGTTGATCAATTAGCCTGAACTTTGTAAGAGTTTCGAGAGCGGACAGACGCTATAATTATAGACATCTAAAACTCGATAAAAGGCACTTATTTATAATTTCATTAGCTTTTGTGTGTATTGACATTAATGTTAAAATTAAACTAAATTACGTGACATCAAAGATTTTAATGTCGAGAGAGTTTTAAACATCAAGAAG